AGAGTATTACTAAATTTCCAAATATAAAGGATTTTGAGTCTTTTGTAGTTGGTGGTGGTGATTTTTAGCTTAATTACACTGGATTAGAAAGCACATTCTTTATGATCTCGATATTCTTAAATGTGCTGCAATTCTTTTAAGCCCTGTGATAAAGTTTTAACAAACAACAGCTCATATGTTTGAAACTTAAAATGTACTCTTAAATCATGCTCAGATTAAAGAAATAATCATCAATGAAACTGCAAAATATTTTGACCTGAACTACAATGAAATTAATGCATATTTAAATTTCTGGGTGCAGTTTAAATTGTAGTTAGCAATTTAGAGCTTTAAACAAAGTCTTCAAAATTAAAAATAAAGAAAAAGATTGAAAAAGAAAAAATTCAACTCAAGGAACTAGAAAAAGAATGCCAGGATAAGATTTTAAGAAGTAGAAGAAAATACAACAAACATAAACAGATACATATAGTAATGTTTGCTGCAGGATTCTCTATAAAAGCCAAAAGAAAAAGTAACTCTTAATTACCAGACACCAGATTCAGAACTGACAGCTGAAAACGGTTTCCCTTTAGTTATATAAGTGGTGGTATGTCCATTCACTGGACTGTTATGCAGCCCTTATACATGCATTTGTGACTCTATTTATTGACCTGGGAAAATGCCTAAAACACAGCATTAAGTAGACAAGGTTGGAAAGCAGCAAATACTGTATTCATTAAGTTTCTTCAGGATATAAAGAAGAATTGCTTCTGGCTGGACTAGGAGAGACAGAAGGAGAAAAAGAAAGAAAGGGAGGGAGGGAGGGCATGGCTTCACATGTTGGAAAATTTCATGGGATTAAAGAATAAAACAACTAAGAATGAGGAAAGGGCTGAAACCAGCATAGTTTCATGGATCTCAGTAGAAAAAAAAAATTCCAAAGGACATTTTTTGAGTTGGTGTAGATTAGTCTAGGTTGGATCTGCTGTCTACACCAAAGCCAAACAGCTTTGGTTTATCAAATAATGAAACCCTGATTATTAAGATGGCCCCAGAGTAAGAAAAATGATTGTGCGTGTACCCAAGATGTGTCTATCATCAGCAGGATCCCCTTTTTCTAATATAATATGTGTGGGTGTGTGGGTGTGTGTGTGGGGGGGGGTGGGTGGGTGGGTGGGTGTGTGTGTGTGTATCAGATGGTAATGGGATAGCAAGTGATGGTCACTCCCTTCTATACTTTTTGATGTACCTCAATGAATATGTTCACTCCCTTCTATACTTTTCAATGTACCTCAATGAATATGTATTACTTTTATATTTTTTTTGAAAATGCAATTTTCTGTTTGAGAAAGAAAAACTCACTTCAGAATATGCTAGCATATTTGATGAGATTCTGGACAGACCTGACAGCGAGAGGGTGAAAAGCCTTCATCAAATATTCCTAAGAAAGCAAAGTGACCACCAGCTCCATCTTCCTCACAGCTGTCTGCCCACCTCCGCTTCCCTGTCACTCACCCAAATCGGTTCCCTGATTCGAGAACAAAAAAGAAAAGGTTATTAGCCTGTAGGATATAGGGCAAAAGCAAGGACAATAGACCCAAATCATCCCAACAGAAGGAAACAGTTTTCAGCTGTCAATTCTGAGATCATCATCTGGTAATTTCATGCTCTGCAAAATCTGGAGTCTTTGATGGAGTCTGCATCTTTTTCTGCTATTGATTCACAGAGGATGGGCTTTGGTTTCTCTTTCCTCCCTTTTTCCTTTATATGTACACGTTGCAGGAGGGAAAAAAAAATGCAGGTATTCTTTTAAAATCTTTTCAACACCTCTTGTGTCTCTGGCACTGCCTGTCTGGGCATTTTCATGCACATATCACAAATGAATATTCATTTGACAAACACTGACCAACATCTCCTCACGACAAAACAGCTCAGGCTTTGGCATCAGCATTCCCTGGGTTTGAATTTTGGCTTTTTTTTTTCTTTTACTATTTGCATGTCTGAAAGATAACATAGGGCTGCCATAAGCCTTTGTTTCCTAACCTGTGGAAGGATTTTGTGAGGAGTAACTGAGGCAGATGAGCATCCTAGCTTCTAACCCGCACATGTCTATAGCACCCTCTAGACTATCCAGTTAAGGGAAGGAATTACAGCTTCTTCACCTTTGTTTGCCGAGACCCAGGACAGTGCACACAGAAACAAGGACTGCCACTTGTTGAGCTATTATACCAGGCACTACACTAAACATATACCCTTATCAAATCCTTTTACTTGTCTGTGCCCCAAACTGTACCCCAACCATGTTTTAGCAATCTCCTATACCTTTTGTGTTCCTAGAATGGCGCCAGGTGCTTTAGCAGGACTCCCATAATTATTTGTAGAATTAATGCATGTAGCCAGCCAGCCACACACCCTTATATTTAATCAACATCTCTCCTCATATCAAAGGTCTCTTCCGGACAGAGACAAAGGCGGCGAGAAGTCACATGTTAATGTTGATGTTGAACCATTGAACTGAGGCACAAAGATATTAAGTGGCTCATCCACCATCAGCCAATGGTATAATGTCTTTGTATGTTCCCATATCCATTCCCTACTCAGTCTCCAAGTAAGAAAAGAACAGAAAGTCCCTGGGTGTGAGACAAGGAGAGAGCTCCCATGCCGGAGGATGAGCATAAGAACAAAGGAGGCCATTCACCAAACTTCACAGAACACAGAGCTTCAAGGTGAGAAAAGAAACCTTCCAAAATGGGGGTGGAAATCACTACTCAGGAACCCCATATTTAACCTAAAAAGCCAAAGAGTGAATTGCCCTGTTGGGGAGAAATCCCAAGAAGTGAATGGTGAGCACCTGTCTGGGGTCTCCCAAATGCATCCATCTTCAAAGGCACCTTCTGCTCCCAGAAGGTGACCACCATGGGCATCAGTGAGGACTTGCGCTTTCCTCTCAGGTACAACAAATAGAACTGATTTGTTTCTCAGATGAGCCTGTTTCTGTAATTCCAGAATGTGCTCCGACTGCTCAGGGGTGTTGTCTCAAAATGCAGGTCCTGTTTGATTCCAGAGCAGAGACTGCTCTTCTTTTTACCAAGTATAAAAACAAAACAAAAAATAAAGATGGCAGAAAGTGATCAAAATCTTTTTGGTTCCTTTGATGGAAGAAAAACTCACTTGAAAACTAAGAAAACCAAGGGGACACTGTAGAAATGCTGCTAATTAAATTTAGGATCAAGAGTGCCAGCAGATACACCCCTGCCCAGAACCCTGAGCATCCCATCAGAACAGTATCTCGGTCACAGTTTGCACCCCAATCCTGATGGCTCCTTCACCAATCTACACCAGTAACACAAGGCAAGTAAGTCTGTGTTACCTGGCCTCGTACTGGAAAAACAACCCAAAGTATCATCTTCCCAAATAAGGGCAAAACATAAATAACAGGCCAGCAAAGCAGACCTTCCATGGTTCTGGCAAAGAGCTCTGTGGCTCCATTTGGTGCCATGTATGAAGCACTGGGCATCAGGGATTGTGTTCCAGGGCTGGGACAGGTTGCAACAAGGCCTGAAAAGTTCAGGACTTCAGGTAAATAATATTCAAATGCAATATTTTTAAAAAATTAAAATTAATGCAAAAGCTGCTATAGAAAACAATTGGAAACTTCCTCAAAAAAATTAAATATAGAATTACCACATGATCCAGCAATTCCAGTTCTGGGGATGTACCCAAAAAGAATTGAAACAGAGACTTGAATCCCCACATCCACCACAGCCTTATTCACATTAGCCAGGAAGCAGAAACAACCCAAATATCCATCGATGGATGAATGAATAAGCAAGATGTGTTGTATACCTATAATGGAATATTATTCAGCCTTTAAAAAGAAGGAAATTCTGACACATGCTACACCATAGATGGACCTAGGGGCACCTCAGTGTCTCAGTCGGTTAAGCATCCGCCTCTTAGTTTTGGCTCAGGTCATGATCTCAGTGTTGTGAGATCAAGTCCTGAAATCAGGCTTGCTGAGTGTGGAGCCTGCTTAAGATTCTCTCTCTCCCTCTACTTCTGCCCCTCTCCTGTCCCCACTCACACACTCTCTCTTTCTCTAAAAAATGAAACAAAACAAACAAACAAGCAAAAAAACATGGATGGACCTTAAGGACATTCCACTAAGTGAAATAGGCCAGTCACAAAAAGACAAATACTGTCTGATTGATTCCACTTACAGGAGAAGCCGAGAGCAAATTCATAGAAACACACAGTAGAATGGCAGTTGCCAAGGGCTGGGGGAGGGGTGGATGGAGAGTTAGTGTTTCATGGGGACAGGCTTTCAGTTGGGAAAGAAGAAAGGACTTCTGGAAATGGATGGTGGTGATGGATGTCTAACAGTGTGAACACTCTTAATGCCTCTCAATGGTGCACTTGAAAATAGTTAAAATGATAACTTTTGTGTTATACATACTTTACCACAATAAAAAATGGGGGAAAATGGAAAAAGCTTCAGGATGAACAAAATGCAAACATTTTTAATAAAGATGGGATCAATACTACTGATTTTTCCTTTTGCCTGAGGCTCCAATATGGCTCCATATGGCCGGTATCCAGGTCAGTATCCTGTTCACTACAGATTTTTGAATTGTGATTTTTGCAAATATTGCCTTGAAACATTGCTTGCCTTGATTTCTGAGATCTGGGGCTACCCCATTAAATTCTGTGACACAGGAAAGTGCCTCCCTCTCCTCCCCTGCCTCTCCCTGGTCCCCGTATCTTTCCATTACTTTCCCTTGACATCCTAAGACCTCTGCAATTCCATTTAGACTCCAACGTCTCTCTGTTGTGTCTGGAGAATGAGAAGGGACCCAGAAGCTGGTGCCTCTGGATCATCAAAGTCATGTTTTCGTCTGTGAACCTTCCTGATGCTCCCTGGGCTCATCACGGACTATAATTTAGGCTTATTCACACCCCAGTTCCCTCTCGCCCTAATCCCATCATCACCTGGAACCTGTTAGCCTGTGACCCCGCATTACCTTTAGCAGAAGGCCCTGCGGAGCTCCTGTGCCAGCTGGCTTTCCTCTTCTGGAGGAATCGATTCCTCGTGATCCTCTGAGCTGTTATCTCATCAGGCTGGAATAACTTGACACTCCCATTCGTCCGAAACCCAAGTCGTTTGTCTTCCAAACTTCAGAGCTGGAGTTGTTGGGAATTCCACCCACTGGCCTCCTCTTAGGGGACTGTGACCACTTCATCAGCTGCTTCTGCCTTGCCTCTGAGAGATCCGGGGCTAGGAAAGACAAGAAAATTCCTGAGCAGCATGGAGTGAGGCTGCCAGCAAAGACCGTTCTGGGTGAGAGCACCTCCCATCCTTAGAGGGAGCCTGGCTCACACAGCCTGGCCTGGCAGCCTGGACAGAGCTCAGACAGCGTTCTACAAACTACACAGGAGGCACAACTGTCCACAACGATGCTGGATCTTGGGTGAATTCTTCTTCATAGCAACACATGTCAAGAAGCTGCACAACAGTCCATGGAGCACCAGGTGAGGGGTAAGGGAAGCTAGGGCCAAGGCCAACCCTGCCCCATAGCAGCTGTGTGACCTCAGGCCCTTTGGGCCTCAGTGGCTTGACTCCATGGTGGCGATAAAAATGGCCTGGGCTATTTCAGAGGAGGCCAACACAATATAATGAGTTCCTCATTGTGGAAGTGTTTGAAAACTCTCTAGTGCCAAACAAATATAATAGGTTATTTTGATAGTTATCTAACTAAAAGCAATGACTAAGCACTTTTCCAAATGAAACCCAAAACAAGGGATTGAGCCCTTGTGATACACCAGGCAACATGGGCCAGAGTTTTGAGAGGACTCATGCTGGGGCAGTGGAGACCCCAGGAAGCATGAGTAAGGCTCCAGCTCCTTGTGTCTTATACCTTTTTGCTTCATGGGACTGCAGACCAACTACGGGCTAAGTAGAGAGAGATCTGAGCCATGGGGCAGGAGAAGCATCATGACCCAGAGCACCCTGGAGGAGCCTGGGGTGCTGTCCTGAGGACAGCCAAGAGAGCACGCAACGGAGACAACACGGATCCAGCATCTCTTCCAGACTCATCCTGAAGCCTGCAGAAGAGAAGGGGGTCCAAAAGCAGCCTGCTTAGAGTGGAGGCGGTACAGTAAGTAGTGGTCCCATGGAGCCAAAGCCGACCAGAAAGTTCCCATGCACCTAGGCACATCCCAGGGGACATGTGAGAGCATATACATCTGCAGAGCACGTGCCCAAGTGTCGTGGACATTTTTCTTTTTTGGTTACTCAGCAATGAGTATCCTCCCTTGTTTATAGCATATCCCCCTTGTGTTTCTCTGTAGAAAGCAGAGCCAAACAGTTTTTTTCCTAGGCTCCCTTGCAGCTCAGCAAAGACAAAAGGCTGGACTTTGAGTCGGGCCTTAGTACAACATGCAAAAGAGGCAGAGCATCCTTCCGGCAGTGTGGCAGTGGCCATGACAGCAGCTTGGCATTTCCAGGGGCAGGAATGTCCAGTGCCCTGAGTCAGCAGCAGAGGTTGCATAAGTGGACATGCCCAGTGCTCAGGGATGGAAAAAGCAGGATCTTGGGTGAATGTGTCTCCATAGGAGCTTCTCCCCAGCTGTAGTCTGGAATGTGATTGGGGTTGTGGTCCTCCTTGATGCCTTGTCTCTTATTCATGCCTGCTTTCCAAACCTAGTTCTAGAATCTTCCCTAAAGAATTTTTGGCCTATCTAATTTCTGGTCAATAAACCTCTTTACTATTATATAAACAGAAGTAGTATCTCTTGTTTACCTTGATGAGTTCCAGATGGTATGCCAAGTAAAACAAGTATCACAGGCCAACACCCGCCAATCCCTGACACATGCTAGGAACACCCCCAGCAACCCACAGCTTCTCAGGGGCCCTGAAACCCAGGGCACTGGTGCAAGGAATGTGCCCCACTGCTCAAGTCACATTAGGGCAAGATGAAAACCTCCTTCAGATGAGGAACAAAATCACAAATATTTAGTTCATGTCAAAAGTTTAAAGAAATTTCATATTTTTTGATCTTATGTTTCAGTGGGTTTTATCTTAATAAAAGAATTCTTCTCTGTAGTGACTTTGGCCAGAACCTGGATTAAGAGAACTTTTAGAAGTTAGAATGTATTCCTGGCACCGGCTGAATAAATGAGGACTTGGCTTGGTAATTCAGGAGAGTTGCCAATTCCTGAGTTCGGAAAATGCCAAAATCTTATGGCCATTGCAGGGAAAGAAGGTTCAGCAGAAAAGGCCTGGCTCCAGGCCAGCCACCTCCTCAGCACTAGGCCTAATCCTCAACTTAGTCATCACTGACACACAGAACGCCAGGTACATGCAGACTCCCCAGGCTCCAGCTTTACTCCTCAAGAAAGGAGGCAAATGGCGTCTTCATCATCTCTTAGTCCCTCTGTACAGAATGTGGACCAAGGAAAATGGCATGATTTCTTTTGAGATAATGGCATAAAATCTAGTATAATCACAGAATTCTGAAGCTGGAGATAGTGTGTACAGGTAAATACTTAACAACCAACTCTCCAAAAGGAAAAAAAAGGACAAATGGGTGAATGCATGTATAAGGATACTATAGATTTTGCTGATATAACATGCATTTACAATACACAATTTCTGGATTGTAATAAAATACCTAACAGTCCTTACTGCAGATTCCACAGTTAATTTTTGCTGAACCCTTGTATTCGTGGTCAAACTATGGTCATAATTCCACCATGATTTGACAAATAGAATTGCACATCAGTCTGCTAAGTCTCTTCCCAATAAATGTATTGTTATTAAATAGGATGAGATCCACCGATACACTCACTTTTGTACAAATTATGTTCATTGAACTAATTCCTCTCTCCCCTTCAGCTCTGGTCATGACAGACTTTTAAGTCTAATGTGCATTATTAATATTTTCTCCTTTAAGTCTAGAATATAATAAATCAAGCACAGATTTATAGCATTTGACCATTTCCTTGGTGTAAATACTCCCATCACGATCAATGTCAAGCAACCAAGCGCTGTCACGAACCACTGAGTTGAGAAGAGATAGCCAGTAGCTCACCATTACGTAGTATTTCCACGATACAGATACGATTGATGTAAAAAACTCAGACATAAATAAAATGTACTGTAATAGTTAGACAGTGATGTTTTGAATATTTATTACCTTTGTTTTTAGTAAAGATGTGATTTTTAAATTTATATAATTCTCAATAATGGCTATAGTTAACAACCAGCTCCCTAAATTCCTAAGAACCTAATCAGCCTTCAAACCCTGGTGCAAGCGGACTCCAACGCACCCCTCGCTGGAGGAGACCGGGAGAGATCTATTTCTACATCTGTGTCTCCACATATACAAAATATCTGGAGAAGGGAGGTAGGGAAGGGAAATACCGGGATCAGGAAATCGAACTGCTTACAGAGATGTCCTTTGCGTTTGTAAGAAGTTCTGGATGTTAAAAGGGTAGAGTCTGAGTTCTGGTATGGTTGCCCTGGCATGAAGCCTCCAGCACCTCAATGCCTTTGTGGATCTGACCTATTTTCAGACCAAAAAAAAAAAGCTGATTATTCTCCAGTTGCCAACTTTGGCTACTGGTTGCACAGACCTTGATCTATCCCTGCAGACACACCCTTGGTTTTGACAGCATTTCCCGTAACATGGCAGAGCCAGAAGAATGACACAGCTGGAGATGATTTGAAAGACAATTAAAGCTAACAAGCTGACCCAGCAAAAGCAGCAAAGAAGACAGGAAATGGCTCTGGCTAGAGGGAGAGTTTTGCCACGATCGCTGGGAAGAGACCATTTAGGAAGGAAAAATGGGAGATCTGCTTTGCCAACAAAAATTGGGATTTGCTTAACCAGGCCTTGACAAAAAGTAGGATTTGCTTCACCACGCCTGGACCGTAGCTGAAATGGAGGGTGTGCTTTTGGCGGTGCTGTGGGGACCCGGGCACCTTTCTGCCCTGTTGATAGAAGCATAAATCCTCATTGTGGATTATCTTTCCATTACTTGTACTCCGTACAGCCTGTATGGAAGTGTGTTTGACAGTGACTCTCAGGGTTTTAAGGGCACATTCTCTATGACCGGATGCTCACGGATTTGCACTGCAACACTGTTTGAATGAATAATGACGCTGGATTAGAAACAAACTCAAAGTCTATTAACAGGTGGCTTGCTAAATGTATAAACGACAACAGATCCAGGTATAGGAATACTATAGAACCACTAAAAAGAATAGGGCAGCTTTTTATTACCTGTTGAACGATCAGAAATATGCCGTTAACTGAAAAAAAAAGGGGAGGAGCACTGGATGCTACCATTTGGATGCTTTAAATAATGTATTTATACACCTAAATGAGTATAAAACACCTTTGGAAGGATACGCAAAGAAACTGGGCACAGTTTGCCTCTGGAGAAGAGAATGGAGAGAGACCAAGAGTGGAGAAAGACTTACCCTACAACATGTTTTAGTTTTATATCATGGATGATCTCATTTTTTAAAATTATTTTTTAATTTTTACTTCCAATATAATTAACATAGCATTAGCCACAGACGTACAACAGTGATTCAACAATTCTGTACGTCACTCGGTGCTCATCGTGATAAATGTACTCTTAATCCCCATCACCTATTTCACCCATCCCCCACCCTCTCATTTTTCTAATCAAATAAATAATAAAGTGTGTGGCTATTTTTAAAACAGCAATAGCAACTACACTTCGATGGGTCTTAACCACTGTCCTGAGCTCCTTTGACTTTTTTTTTTTTTTTTTAGTCACAATCTAAAGGGACCCCTCCCCTGCAATCTGCCTGGACCCTCCCGGTCCTAGCCCAGGAAGTCTGTGTCCGGCGAAACTACAATGGTTGGGCACGCTGTTCCCCTCCCACATCCACATGGTCCCTCAGGTGAGCTGACCACGGTGTCCGCCCCAGATGGGCTTCTTCTCCCTGTCTCCCGCCAGTACTTCCCGATGGCCAAGTCCAGCCAGAAACCAGGGAGCAGGGAGCCATCGGCTGCAGTCCAAGAAGGTCAGCCTTCTGGGCCCCTGTGCCAGCGGGAGGCTGGGGAGGAGGCCTGGAGGGGCCTGGCTTCTCCAAGAGTTCTCACTTTGATGACCTGGGAACAAGGACAAGTAGGGACTAAAACACGGGTTCTAGTTTTAGTTTAAGATTTATTTAGTTTAAGATTTTATTTGAGAGAGAGAGAGGGAGAGAGAGCAAGAGAGAGCAGGGGGAGGGGCAGAGGGAGAGAGCGAAGCAGGTTCCCCGCTGAGCAGGGAGCTCATCGCAGCCCAGTCCCAGGACCCTGATCATGACCTGAGCAGAAGGCAGACACTTAACCGACTCAGCCACCCAGGCGCCCCTAGCTTCAAATCTTTCATGACCTTCGGTCACCTTCCAGGGTCTCAATGGTCTCATTCGTCAAATGAAGAGGAAAGCAGGCCCCCACCGTGGCCTTGGCCGCACACGTCCCTGACCTCTCAGGCCCAGGCGCAGGCGTGATGTGAGCACTCACTCATGTCCCATGCTCTCCCACAGAATAACCCAAACCTCTGGACTCTCCGCGCAGACTGCCTTCACAGACAGCAACCGGAAGTTTCCTGAACCCAGAAAAGCTACCCATTGTCCTTCAGGATCCAAAGGAAAGTTGCCTTCTCTCAAAGTAGCATTTCTTAGTTCAAAATGTCAGTCCATGGACCCCACCCCCAGACACTCTGATTCAGCAGGTCTAGGGTAGGAGTGCGAGAGAGGTGCTCCTCGTACCACATTTTGAAACCCACGGTCTTAACGAACAATGCTGCATCATCGAGTAAGAATTGTCAAGTTCACTTCCCTTTCCATGCAAACAAGCTAGTATTCTGTAATGGTTATTTTTAAAAAACAACAATAAGAGCTTTGGGACAACCAATCCACTTAATGCTTTGCAGCATGGAAGCGCACGCTAAATAGTAAAACTGCATTTCAAAACATGATCAAACATCAGCCTAATCAGCCAGGTGTTAGCCGCTCAATCACAAGCCTCAAAACACATAATCAAGTATCAGCAAGCAGGTGTTTTAAGTGAAGATTGAGATAAACAGTTGCCTTTGTGGGTATTTAGGAGGTTTTGCAACATTAAAATGGAGTACCTCACACTCAAGCCAACAGATGCCAGAAGCTTCGTGGCTGAATAAATCCAGGCAATGATTAGCACTGGAGATTTTCACTGGATTGCAATCAAAAGCTGTGAGCCTTATGGAGGAAATCTGTGTCCTTCCTTTATTTCCACTACCTGTAAGGTATTGCCCTTGTGGGTGGTGATGCTTTTTAAAAAAATCATGAGGACACGTTTCACTTTGTTCAGACTGAAGATTTTGATCCCTCTGAGAGAAAACTGTATGCAGATCACATACACACATTCAGGGCCACCATGCCAAGGACCCATCCCACCTGTTTCTTCAGTGTGACAAGTTTAAGCCAGGGAGGTCGGAAGAAACAGCAAAATTTCTCTTTAGAAATTAATTTTTGTTTTCACACACATTCCAAATGGCTTCCCAGTGGCCCTCTAACTAGTCCAACATAGCCTCGAAAAATCACTGGGGACAATTTCCAGTGACCATCCTCAGTTGAAGTGCCATTTTAAGAACCAGTGTTAATAAGACCAGCTTGTCATGTAAGCATAGTAGTTTTGTCCCTGGGTTTTTTTGTTTTTGTTTTTGTTTAAGAAATGCCAAGCAGGAGCGCCTGCTTAAAACAGGGACAAATTATTACTACTCTTTTCTGGTAAAAGTAAACTTTGTCTATGCATTGCCTCAACAGGAACACTGCTGTGTCATTTTATAATGTTCTTTATTTGGCCATATATTTCTTTAAGGTTTTATTTATTTGAGAGCAAGAGAGTGAAAGAGAGAGCGATCACAAGCAGAGGGGAGGGCTAGACAGAGGAGCAGACTCCCTGTTGAGTAAGGAGCCCGACGTGGGGCTCGATCCCAGGACCCAGAGACCATTACCGGAGCTGAAGGCAGACGCTTCACCGACTGAGCCCCCAGGCGTCCCTGAGAGAATTTCTTAAGCTTCATTTTCTATTTCTTTTCTCTCTTCCCCGGCCTTGAGTTGCCACCCAAATAATAATTTCAGTTCTTATAATTTTATCTCCTACAGTTGAAGGAGCTGTGGCTCCACATTTGGTCACACATGATCCAACTCACAGCCCCAATCATCCTTACCATTCAGCAGAGATAAAGGTGTGTAAGACATCAGAAAGTTTCATTATCGATCCTGGACATCAACACACTCCTCTGAAATAAAATCAAGAGAGTTTTATCAGGGCTTTTGAGCCTGTGGATTCTGAGTCTGAATAAGCCCAAAGAACTTCATTCTTCCCTCCCACCAGTTCCCCAAACCTGTCAGTAATTGCTGACCACATTAGGACTGGTCTTTCATAACCTCTTCCTCTTTCAAGCTGTGGGATTCAGCAGGGCGCTGGTTTAGTGTGTAGCTGGGGCTTCTGTGACTCGGGACATTCAATCCTGAACTTTGAGTCTATTTGCAAAGATAAAAAGTTCCCTCTCTAAACCAGGGAGTCTGGCTGTCTTTGGGCTTTTCTGGTGCTCCTTTGTCCAGTGATCCGTACCCTTTGGTATACGGACCCTCTCATCTCTCCTTTCCCAACAGCTCCAGCCGGGGGAGTATTAACCTCCACTTACCCAGAGGCAAGAGGAGCTCTTCTGCCCTGTCAGCAGCCTGAGCCAGGGCAGAAGGTGCTCTAACTTTAAGCTGGACTGGAAATTCCCTCAGAAGTCCTGAGGGAATCATACAAATGATTCAGACCAGTTCAATCATGATTTTTCCTCTTCTCTGTCCTTCAATAAACCTCTGGCCTCCTGTTTCATGGAGAAACTAGAAATCATTGGATGGAAGTTCCATTAATTCCTTGCCCGTCTCCTCTCATCCAAGAACTGCCCTCTCCTGTCTCCTCCTTTCCCCCTAGACCGATTCCCCACCAAGGCTTTGGACCCCAACTCCATCAGCCACTCTCCTTGTCGTCAGCTTCTCCCTCCGTTTCAGCGCGGGCCCATCACCATGTGTACATAACAAAGTGTTAAATTAGAAGTTGGGACCGAAGCACCAGGATCGAATAAAGATGATTATTCCAAAGGCTGCGTTAGATCAGATGTGAAATCTCAAAGCCGGATAACCAAGATCCAGTATTTTGACTTTTAAATTCCCTCACACCTATGGAGGGTAAAAAGAGTCAGAGGAGGGGGGATTGCACAGATTTTAGAGCAGAGCCAGTAGAAAGCTATGGTTCTCATCCCCGCCCCCGGGGCAGAAGGATGAAGGGGATGTTCTGCCTTCTCCTCATGCCCAGTGAGAGAGCTTTAGTAGAACCCGTTGGAGAAATTAATGTGTGTCCCCCAGAGCTGGGGGCTGGAGGGAATGGGACCTAGCTCGCGCCCGAGAAAGTCAGACCAGCCTGTGGCAGCAGGCGGAAGCCCAGATCCAAGGCGGAAGTTGGCTCCTGGAGACCAGATGGAAGAATCCAGCTCAGGAAAAGGCCACCTATAAAAGCAGAGCCTAGCAGTAAGAGGCAGAGCAGGAGTGGGGCGGGCAGGTGGGGTTTGACAGTGAGCCAGGTGGACAAGGCCAGCCAAAGCGCTGCCACCAGAAGGCCCTACCAGGTGAGAGGCTCAAGGAACCCATGGAAATGCCCAGTGAGCCTGTACGATTCACCTGCTGAGCCAGAGAGGGCAAAGCCTTCTTAACTCTTGTGCTCCCAGCTCTGGCCCTGACTCCCTCATTAGCAGTCGGTTACCAGCTCGGAGCAGACCTTCTTTTACGTAAGAGCAACCAGAGAAATGCCCAATGCCTGACACCGATTTAAAGGGACAGGAAAAGGGGCGCCTGAGTGGTTCAGTTGGTTAAGCTGCCGACTTCTGATCTCAGCTCAGGTCTCAATCCCAGGGTTAGCTGTGTGATAAACGTGATGGATGCTAAAGCCCTTACCCATCACCTAATGGTCCCCTTCGTATGCAGTTCAAACTCCTTAGATCTTCTCTAAATAAACCTTGCCCTGCCTTTGTATCACAGTGAACTGTACCCCCACCCATCCTATTGCTCAAACCAAAATCTTAGTAGTCACTTTTGTTTCCTCACTTTCTCTCAGCCTTCAAACCCAATCCATCAGAATAATTCCACCAGCTCTACTTAGTTGTCCACCTGTCCCATGTTCTCCTCCTCACCTGGATGACTGTCTCTGTATGCAGCCACAGTGTCATTTTAGAATGTAAATCAGCTCAAGTCACTTCCCTGCTTACATCCCTCTAATGGTTTCCCGTTGTCGGAAAGTAAAATATAAACCCCTTACCAAGCCCTGGAAGGCCTCAGTCATCTGCCCCTGCCACGCTGCCTCTCGGACTCAGGTCCCACCGCCCACCCCAGACACTGACCTTTCTGCTTTTTTTTCTTTTTTTTAAGTAGGCTCCACACCCAGTTTGGAGCCCAACACAGGGCTTGAACTCATGACCCTGAGATCAAAACCTAAGGTCAAGAGTCAGTTGCCTAACGGACTGGGCCACCCAGGCGGCCCGCCCTTCTGCTCTTTAAGTGGACCACACTTGTTCCTGATTTGAGGCAGGGTTTCTTACTCTTGGCACTGGTGACATTTGGAACCGGGTAATTCTTTGTTGCAGGGACTGTCCTGAGCATGGCAGGGTGTTTACCAGCATCCCTGGCCTCTACCCCCCCAACAGAGGTCAGTAGCACTCCCCATCCCTCCTGATTTGTGACAACCAAAAATGTCTCCAGACACTGCCAGCTGTCCCCTGCAGGGCACAATTGCCCCCACTTGAGCATCTCTGACTTAGGGCCTTTGTATAAGCTGTTCCGTCTACCTGGAACAGTCTGCCCCCTGGATCTTTATGCAAATGTTTCTTCTCATTCAGGACTCCAGTCACATGTCACCTCCTCAGAAAGGTCTTTCCTGTCCATCCAATCTGCATAAGCTCCCGTCCATCACCAGTTGCCCACTGTACCTGTCCCTCTGTTTGGTTTTTTAATAGCTCTTATCACTGAAAAAGCCTCACCCAGTTATCGGTTTATTTGTCTGTTGTTTGTCCCTCTTACTAGACTGTAAGCCTCAGGCCAAGAGCAGGGTCTTGTGTGATAAGCAATGTTTGGGGAATATTTGTTGATTGAAAAAAAATAATAAATTCCCAAAAATGGACACCAAAGGTCTCTTTGTTGCTAAATCCGGTAGGTACTTTAAAGTTCGTCTATGAATTCTCTCCAACATTGGACGTTCCTGATGACCTGCTCTTTTAAGTCATCACTTCCCCTGGTTTCCATGACCCTGTGCTGCCCTAGATGACCCTCGTCTCTTGGACTCTTCTTTCCAGTTTCCTTCAAGAGCTCCCCTTCCTCAGCCCATCCCCGAGATACTGCTCCTCAGGGAGTTCCATCCTGGGCCACCTTCTCTTCCATTTCCTTATCATCTAGCAAGGAGACCTCAGCACTCCAGTGCATACCTCACCAGTTACTATTTACTCATGACTCCCAAATTCCTACCTCTACCTCATGTGCACGAGGCCACTGGGACATCCCACAGGCCCCTCACTATTCCCCAAAGTCAGCGTTTCTACCAACCCCAAGCCCCCCAACTCAACAATCCCCACCACTGGACACAGCTTAGCCTGCTGCCCCTGAAGCTCTAGCTTCTGCGGTGGAATTATTCTGCTGGATTGCTGCAGTGCCCTCGAACTGTCTCTGGGCCACCGGCCCTGGTCCCAGGCAACACATGCTCCTTGCTTTGCTGCTTGAGACGCTCCATGGCTTCCCATTGCCCTAAGCCTAAGATACAATTCCTTCCTATATCTTTCTTTTTTTTAAGATTTTATTTATTTATTTGAGAGAGAGAGAGAGAGGGAGCGAGAGATAGAAAGCATGAGCAAGGGGAGCGGCAGAGGGAGAGGGAGAAGCAGACTGCCTGCTGAGCAGAGAGCCCAACAGGGGACTCAATCCCAGGACCCTGGGATCATGACCTGAGCTGAAGGCAGACGCTTAACCAACTGAGCCACCCAGGCACCCCCTTCCCATTCAAGAGCCTTTGTAAACTGTCTGTTCGTTACCCCCAACCACCTAAACCATGCTCTCCCTTCGCCTCCGTGGCTACGGAGGTGCTTCTTCCTAGGTCAGGAACACTTTTGCCTCCACCTCTCTGTGCCAGGATTCAGACGATATTTGTAAAATCAACAGGCAATTTCCATTCCCCCGTTCTTGAGTCATTATGTCTTCAGTCTGGGTCTCATGAGACTTTGAACCTCCTTCAAAAATAGACCCAAATACTCTTTCCTCCATTGCTAGTCCCTACATGGTCTTTGCTTCAAATGCAAAGAGGTGTCAGATGCAGCTCAAGACACCTCTTTGAAATCACCTGTAGGGTTTTTATAGCCTATCTATCTTACTTCCCAGGCCCAAATCCTAGTTTTTATACCCCTCCCTCTGTTCTGCACCACAGGAGACATCCTAACAACCTCTGTGAGGGTCTGGGTTAATTAGTCACTAGAATTTGCATCTTCCAGCTAAGAATCTAGCCCAAGATTTACATGTTGCTACCACTGTACACTTGGTAACAGCGACCAAGCATTCCGGCAGCTCTCGAATTGTATAAAAGAAAATCAGAGATAACATAATTGATTATCAAGAACTAATGAGAAAGCAATATGTTATAAATAAAATGCGGATTAAGAAGTCACATATCAAAACCAGTGTGCAGAAGGAGCAGCAAACTGCTATCTGCTCAGAGGTGTCACCGTTCAGCCTCTGCGATCTGTCACTGTCTGTCGGCTCCTGGGCTTCAACTTGACGTTCTGTGTGGATGAACTCTCGGCTGGACCCCTCAAAAGGAAGACAGACCCACAGCTGTCAGGCTACCCAGCTTTGCCATCAGGCCAGCCCAAGACACATCCCCCAAAGGATCATATTCCTCTTCGCTTACCCTAAATTTTACTGTCAGGGTGGACCAAGTGACCCTGGGATCCACGAGAACCATTGGCTCTTGCCCGTGGTATGTGCTGTTTTCCCCAGCTGTTCAGGGGTAGGAGAAGAGCAGCAACACATGACAGCACCCAGACCACGTCCCCGCCAGGCCATCTCCTGGGGCAGTGAGCAGTGAATGCAGGTTACTGACAGCTAGCACTCACCAGGAGCCTTGCCCCCCATCCACAGGGAGCCACAGGAGCCTACATGATGTGACCCTGAACTGCAGCTTTGAGAACACACAGCCAAGCTCCC